TTTGCGTGGACATGACTAAAAGCCCTACGTATTGACCATAAAGTTCTCAAGTCCTTGGCAAATATTGTACGGCAGTGTGCATTAGTCTTTAATTTTTGGCTAACAGGGACTCCTAAGTCATGTGTCTGGGCAACAGGTAGCTCAGTGTTATTAATCGTGTATGTATCTGTACCCTGATGACCGATATGCATCACAATACACTTGGAAATATTTATTGGCAACTACCAGATTTAAGACCATTCAGATAATCTCTCCAGGTCATTTTTGAGTTCTAAGCTTTCGCCCTTACTTCGTATCACTCTACATATTTTGACATCGTCAGCATATAGCAAGATCGATGATGATAGGAGACGAGGAATAACACCGGACAATGACTGCACGCTGAGGCACTCCGCTAAGCACAGTTTCTTAACAAGACAACTTGGAGTTCACCCGTACTCATTGTTGGCTCTCAACTAGGAAGTCTTTCATCCACATCAATAGATTGCCTCTAACCCCAACATTTCTTAGCTTATATAACAGCCGGTTGTGCGGAACCTTGTCAAAGGCTTTGCTGAAATCGATGTAGGCTACGTCTACAGGTAACTTTTGGTCCTTAAGAGTGCACCAGCTTTCACGAGCGACCAATAAGTTAGTGAGACAAGAATAACATATCCTGAAACCGTACTGCTTTTCCGTAAGGATCCAGTTTTCATCGAGGTACTTAAACAGCTCCTTCCGGATAATCATTTTCAAGATTTTAACAACCACACTAGTCAGGCTAACGGGTCGGTAATTATCAGATTTATGTTTCGTACCTGTTTTGAAGACAAGACTTATTATGGAGTTTTTCCAGTCTCTGGGTAAACGATCCTGCGTTACGGATAGATTAAAGCATATACTTAAAGGGTTCGCAACGAAGTTAGATAATTCCTTTAGTAACCTAGGATGTAATTCATCGGGCTCCGTGGATATACCTATGTCAAGCTTATTTAGTGGACCAAAGACATCGAGTTCTTTAACGGTTACGCTATCCAGTGTATGTGTGGGGGATCTGTATGCGCTGATGGGAAGGGTGCTTCTATGGTATATACACTGCTAAAGTAGTTTGACAATACTTGAGCCTTACCAAAGTCGTCCTCCGCTAGTGATGTGGCAGCACTGTCTCCCCATAGTGCAGGGATATCCCCTCTTGTTTTTGTCCTTTGATTTATATAGGAATACGAGCGTTTTGGACATTCTATAAATTCATTAACAATTTTCTCTTTGTACAACTTTCTAGACTGACAGAGGGTGGAGGCACAGTTATTCCGAGCTTTTCAATAATGAGATTTTGTCTCATCAGTCCCCAGTAACTTAAATCTATCCTACATCTTTCTTCTCTTACAGAGGAGGATGCGAACCCCCCTACTGAACCATGATGGAAAGTTCCTCGGCCCCTTTGGTGTAATCCAAGGGATGTGGGGTGCGGTAACTTTTAAGTATACATTTCAAAATGCGTCCCAAGCCGTTTCAATTAAGGACTCTTTGTCTATTATCCAATCTACTGACGATGCTGAGTGCATAATATCTTATATGTTTGCTTTCCAGATGTTAGGTCTGGATTGATCTGACTCGCTCGTGACTGACAGTTATATGGAAGTCGAAAATTAAAACTGCGTGATCGCTTTTACCCAGGGGTGGCATGTAACGGAGGTTCGCAACGCCATCCTCATAGTGAGTCAGTATAAGATCTTGTAAGGATAATTGAGAGTCCGGGTCGTACCTAGTCGCTTCCTTCACATGTTGCACTAGGGCACATGTGATAACCGCATCAACTAGTTCCTGCTCGAAGGAATTTTCTGACGATTCAGTTCGCAGATTATCCCAGTCTACCATTGGCGCATTTAAGTCCCCTGGGACTAGACATCGACCACTTTGTGACCAAGTATTGAGACTGCTTAGCAGGACCTCATGTGCTCCATAGCTTGGACTACGATAGACCAAAGCAGTCAGCAGCTCTTGTCCCTTGCATTTTAAGCGGCAACTAACTAATTCACGCGTCCCACTCTCATGGGATACACTGTCTATAATGTCAAGTGGGATAGCATTCCTAATGAATAGAGCTACTCCCCCTCCTTTACGCTTTTGTATTCTGTCGGCCCTTACTGACTTAAAACCCTCGAAATCTAGTTCCTTACTATCTATAGGTTGCGTCAGCCAAGTTTCTGTTACTGTGATTATGTCTGGCTTTGTAGAGTCAATCTGCACATCTAGTTCCGATCGTTTATTGAACAAACGTCCGGCATTAGTGTAACAGATCCGGAGTCTTTGTTTCTCAATTTCTTTTTTTCCTCTATTATCGTTAATATGCCTAGGTTCCTACCTGGAGTTATTGATGGTCTACTGCTACTAGACACGAAAGCACGCTAAGCGAAAGCTTCTTCTATTCCGTCCATAAGCAATCAATTCGGAGGCTCATGTTAGTGGTACTTGTGAGGTAGCATGTTGTAAAATTAAATCTAGAGATGGATTAGTGAATATAGGGAAAATATACCGTAATCCGTGTTGCCTTGCTGATGACTTTATCTTAACACACTTCTGCTCTTGGAGTATTCCAGAATGTTGTCTCATCATTGGGGACTTCAATGCACTGTATATCAACCGGATAGAGCTTACAGCTCAATTTGGTGGCTTCAACAGTGACTTTTTATCAACCTTTATTCAGTGAGCACTTGTACAATATAACGCAAAAACGACACATATTGATTTCACACATGATCCGTCACTGCTGGACCTTGCCCTAACCCACCATTGTGAGGATGTCTTTGATATTCAGCATCTTCCCTCACTAGTGAACAGTGATCAGGTTGTACTTTACTTTAAGTTTAGGAAACATGGTATACGATTTGTATCTGCTCCACCCCATCCCAATATCTGACGAGCTACTGTAGAACTATGGTCTACTATGATATATGTACTGCTCTAGTAATAGACCTAATCCTAAATTTGTAGATTCGTCATGATATAACTGCCTAATCTATAAGATCTTACGTGGAAGTCACACCATCGACTACACCAACTCACTGTATCGTATCAATTACCAATACATGATGTAGAACAAGGTTAGGCTAGAGAAAGAACAATATATTTAATATGAATAGACATAGACATAGGCATAGACCACGCCTGCATGGCCGAGCCATGCCACTCGATCAACTCCAGTCCATTCAATTCATTGTTCGCGCCTTCTCCATTGTTAGGTATTTATCCGCGTTAAATATTGAATATCTATTTTCTGAGTAGTCTTGTGTTCAGCTTTGAAGATTGTGTGGTTATGGTCCAATGCCACTACACTACTACTCCGGCAATTAGAAACTGTGCTATCTCGACTGATTGGTCGTTCGACACGGATGCCCAGATTGAGGACGACTGGAATAAGTTTAAGGCTACATTCGGGTCCGTAACGTTATCGTTTATCCCATGGTCAGCACGTAAGCTATCACATTCCCCTCCATGGATTAATAAGGAAACCCGGAAGCTGTTAAAGCGTGGGAAACACGTCTGTGACTTATTCTTGTTGACAGGCCACGTATCATTTAATAGTGAGTACCGAAAATTCCGGAATATTTGTGAGAAAACCATAGCTAAACCCCATACTACTTACGAAAGATAATTGGCATATGATAATCGTACTTGTCCGAAGCGACTGTTTTCGTATGTTAAATGGAGAATAAAACGCAGTGATAGTATTCCCCTGTTACTGTTACACGAAATTTCAGATTTGCCAGCTGAATCATACTAGGCGAAAGCTGAGAATTTTTCAAACAATTTTAGCGAAATCTACTCTACGTTTATTGTAACAAATACTTGTCTCACTCACACCAAGATACCAGCCATTGAATCTGTATAAGTGACTGAGGAAACTGTCCTTACATTGATAATTAACCTCAAACCTGGTAAGATACCGGGCCGTGATCGGTTACATCCACGGTTGCTGTCATCTCCCGAAGACATTATTTCCAAACCGCTCGCGACACTCTTCAACATGTCCTTTCGCTCGCTCAACTCCCTTGAGATTAGAAAGACGCTATAGTCAGTCCTATATTTAAGGATGGTCAGAGACAGATCATAACCAACTACCGGCCCGTCAGTCTAAACAGCATAGTCGTTAAGTTACTTGAAAAGATAATTCGGATTTAGTTGTTAAGTCACATAGATTCATACAACCTGTTAGCTCCTGAGCGACATGGGTTTCGTAACGAGCGTTCATGCTTAACTAACTTACTAATTGCGAGAGAGGGTTGGACAGCAGACTTAGACAAAGGTCTGTCTGTCGATGTGATATTCATAGATTTTAGCAAAGCACTTGACAAGGTTTCACACCTAGGTCTTATGCAGAAGCTCTTGAGCTTCGGAATAATAGGTACTGTACAGGAGTGGATAGGAAACTTCTTATGTGACCGCAGACAAAGAGTGAGGGTCAACGGAACGCTATCCGATTGAAAGCCGGTCAAAAGTGGTGTACCCAAAGGCACCATCTTAGGCCCTCTGCTCTCCCCACTCCAAGTTAATGAGTTACAGCTGTTGCTTAGGTCGTCGACATTATTGTTTGCGGATGACGTGAAAATCTGGAGAACAATAAGAGTGCGGCTGATTATCTGGATCTTCAAGCTGACTTAGACGATTTAGTTAGATGGGCTCGAGAGTGGAGCTTAGAAATCAACTCTAGGATGAGTGTGCTAATGCACATCGGTCACGGTAATGGTTACCAATATACCATTGATGGTAAACCTCTTCTATGCGTTAAAGAACACAAAGACTTAAGAGTAATAATAAGTCATGACTTGAAAACAACTACGCATTGCAACGCAGTTGCTCTCAAAGGTTTTCTTGCGTTATGGTCACTTCGCCGAGAATTCAAATGCCTTGACGAGGAAATGTCTCGAGTGGTCAATCACTGAAACTCCCTACCCAAAAAATGGCATCAGCCACACCAGTAAGCGTTTTTAAGGAGAAGCTGCACCTTCACTGGAAGGCAGGCATTCAGGATTAACACAGGTTCACCAACCTACTATCTTTGTTACTGAAGACTGAACCCGCGTTAATGGACTACAAGGTCAATTCCGCGATAAAACATGCGTCTAAATGTTGTTGTTGCAGTTTCTGAAAACTGGGGTATCGGGAAGGGTGGAGGTTTGCCTTGGAAAATAAAGTAAGGTCCAGCTTCGATAACATACTGAGTCGTTTATTATTCTGAAGTAAACATTTATAATTCGTAGACTTACTCAAATTTTTCGATTGAATAGTTTGCAGGGTTTAAAAAGGTAATGAAAACCTCAGACATTTCAAGTAGATTATGTCTTCCTTAACAGCTTGCTCTTAAAGGTTGGTTAAATAGGCATTCAATTCTGGATAAAATGCTACCTAAAATTTTATCACATATGTGATAGTCAAATATTTGACTACCAGCTCCCTACAGATATCTACTTTTAGAAGACTGGTGAAGACAGATGTTTTAGTGATTCCTAAATCAGCAATGGTTACCTTTCATGTTTTTCTGGACTTGCTAATGGTTTGGGTTGTATATGTTTAGGTTCAGCATATATCGCTGAACCTAAACATATTTAAACATATATTATAAACAAATATTTTTCAATCAACATGTATGTTGATCACATACATGTAATATTTGCGCCTCAATTATTAAAGCTGAAGACTCAAATTTCAGAATTCTTTATTAGTGTTGGTTTTTTGTGTGAAAAACATGCAATTAGGTGCAATTTGGGAGCCACGTATTTTAGGAACCGATTCATAATTCTGTTGTAAAAGATAAGAGTATTGTTCAAACTGACTTGACTACAGTGTCTCAATGTTTAGAAGTTAGGTACTGAGACCGTCAACCTTACGCGACAAGCAAGTCTTTTTATGAATACTTTTGTTGAAAATTTTGCTATTGATGTTTCAGCGGTTGAGTATTTTTAAAAAAAATTTCATTATGAATGTGAGCTCTGGCAGTGAGCAGTAGACTGCATCTCGCCTCACCAATACACTGCTAAGGAAAGTAAAGTTGTAGTAAATAGTTGTAATAGGAGAAATGTCTAATCATCAAATAAAGTGGACAAGCAGTATTATTATGTATTGAACTGTATAACTTAAATGAGAAAACAATCAAGAAAAATTTTTACGGGTCAGGAAAAACACCTTTTACTCTAAGCTATGTTTGACAGCGCGAAACCATAGAGTTTCTGGATGTTTGGCACATCACCAGCGGATTTTTAACAAGTCGAGTTGTTGATTTAACCGATACATATTTCATCCCACGCGACTGTAATAAAGTAGTCTTAGTGGTTTTATATACTTAGCCCTAGTATCTGAGAACAATATGCAATATAGGGGATCGTTGGGACGATATGTGTAGGCTAATCAAGACATCGAATTCAGTATTTGAATACAATAATACTCATAAGACGACCATTCTGCCTTACTGTAAAACGTCTCAAGTCCTACGACTACTTACTAAGAGTTTCCACCAAGTCTTAGCAGTCATTTGAAGGCAATAATAACCAAAACTAGGACTTCTGAAATAACCGATGGAAATTTGATCGTTTTTTTCAGCACAAAACAATTTTACCGTCATATTATACACTTATCCTCTTACAACCAGACTAACGACGTGATAAAGCGAACCTGGTGCATATTAGGCGCTTTGGCGAGACTATAATGTGGTGGCGAACCAATCAGGTCTAAGATAACGAGTCTCGGATTTCGGCGCGAAATTCACCCATCTACTTGGCTAAATAGAGTTTTAGCATTATAGCTGGTGTCAGTTCGTGATTAAAACCCTAAACGTAATTCCTAACTCTAACCATCAACTGTAAATCATAATTCTAATTCCTCACACTGGTTTATAACCCTCATTTGGTCCTAGTTATTAAGTGAAGGCTCTCATGGTCAGTTTGGCGTCACTCAAAGGTCGTCCATAAATTATAGTCTCAGCACTTCTCATTTATTCTCAAAGCTTCATACGGGGCGGTTGTAAACGGACTGTCAACATTATACGGATACTTCAGTGATTATGGTTAACGTAAAGTAGGTTTTTTCCAACAAAGTAACTAAATCAAGTGTTTTTGAGATGATTATTCTTCAAAACTAGTTCTCCAACGATTAGTGGCTTTATCAAGTAGTGGTTTTTTGGCTTTTTAAAGGGTATGTCTTAGGTTCGAACCATGCATCATCTACTTAATTTTTAGCTCCAGAATAATATCAATAACCCTCGTGTAAGAGGTATGACTAAAAGTAAATCACACGAGCCTGTTTATGATAAATAAGTTGCATTTTTATTATATCTTGTTCAAGAGCAGGCTGGAAGAGTGCTAGGGGCGGCCAAACCAAAACATAATATCAGTCTATAGAGTCACTGATAATTGAAATTAGCCATGTTAATAGGTACATATTACTTTTTTTGCGTTCGCGTGATTATCATAACCAATGGTTAGAAACTTCGAATAACATCGCTCAAAATCGTTTTCAATTGCGCAGGTGCATCTATTCTATCTTCATCCAAATCCTGATATTCTAATGTCCCTACGACTTTTTTGCTTTTATTTCGCTACTTTATATTTTCTTTTCGAGTCATTTCTTCGATGCTTCATATTTCCTATCACCACTGATACTTTTACTACCTCTGCTATTCTGGGAATTAGCCTGACAACTTCATTTCTCTATGCTAATGGGGTATAGAAACTTGAGCCGATGTACATACGTACAGGTTCTACATCGTTTGTGACTGGCTAATTATCCCCTCAATGTGGTTCATATATTATTCTGATCAATGAAATTAATATCAGAATTTCCTAAAACTGTAATGTAAACAAGCAATCGATCGAAAAGATTAACCAATTTATTGCTTAGTCGCTTTAATTCGTTTGCTTTCAGTGAGCTATTGTAGTCGTTATATAATCCAAATTTTACACCAAAGTACTAAGCTTGTTACTTGTTTTCAGGAAAGACATGGAATTTTTCAAATCAATAACAACTAAAGCTCATCCAGGTAAAGTGTTTAACCTAAAAATAAATCCAGGTCTCAAAAATGCGGTTGTTATGGGGAGATTTACATGGGAATCTATACCAGAGAGCTTCAAACCACTAAAGGATAGGATTAACATAGTGGTATCAAGCACACTATCACAGTACTTCCTATTTATAACTTACCAAGCCTTTCAAGCGCACCACCACGTGTTCAAATTGTTCCCAATCTTAATGCGGCCATTGACTTGTTATATAATGAAGAATTCAGCTCCATAGTAGATGAGGTTTTTATCATTGGTGGGCATCGTCTTTACGAAGTGAGTTAAATTTTATGTCCTATTTTGTATCTCTGTAGGCTTCTGCACAATTATTCTAGACTAATTAACCATAGAACGTATGGACCTATTAAGTGTTTTCGTATTGTTTCTTAAGATTTATTAACGTTTTCTCTTTTATTAGTTAGAAAAATGGTCAAATAATTGGAAAAACCAACTGCATTATTAACGATACATCAGTTTCTATATCCCCCATTTATTAAATTCATCATTCCACATACATATATATATATATATATATATCTTTTCAGTGACTTTATTGTCATTATTTGTTTATTTTCCCAACCGTTGTTGCTACCTTGACGTGGTGGTCGGGCTTGCCTATCGTGATGAAGCAACCGAACTATACTGGCTGGAACAACCGTTCCTCAAGGTCCTACCATGCCAGACAGGTCGGTTGAAGAACGATAAGACTAAAAGCAACAAACCCAAGGTCCGAAGGTGAAGTCGTACTGCTGACTGTACGGAGGTGTGATAGCAGTAAGGTGTTTCCTTCAGACAACCAACATGACAGCGATGCTGCCTTCCCACAAGGAGGGGTGGTGTTAGAAAAGGTCGACCCTAAAAATGCACACCTCGCCCTATCCTACGGATATCCGTCTCCGGCGGTGTCTCAACAAGTACTGAGCTAACACAAAAATTACCCATAAAAAGGTCGTGTGTGACCGACCTCAAGCAGTCGTCCGTTGGGCACTGCGGTCACGCTCTCAGGTCACTAAGACCACCTCTAATCCAATTTCCTTTCAGGCACCTCCAGAAGAACCTTTCCACGGTGTGGGCAACCGGGAAGTGATAAACGCCCTTATACATCTAACAGTAATCAAGACCACTGTATTCATGACCAACCTCCGTCTTCACTTCCTATTATTCCTCCTACATCGACTTTCACCTCTGAACTTCCTTTTTCGGCTTCCCCCTCAAGTGTCACCACAGCCAACGATTCTAGTGCGCAAAACACTCTCAGGTCGACTGAAACCTCGCTCCAAACTACACATTGGAGCCTTCAACGTAAACACCCTATGTCAAATCGGTCAACAGGCTTCCTTGGCTAGAACCCTAGAATCTCGTACCCTTGATGTATGCTGTGTCTCTGAAACACGCATACAGGATCCTAGTGTGTTCATTCACTTGACCTCACCTCGGCAAAATGGCGAGCCAACGCGATACACCCTCTGTGTATCTGGTGACCCGACGGCCAGCTCTCGTGAACTGGCAGGAGTACGGATAGCACTAAGCATGAGGGCGGAACAAGCACTGTTAGAGGATAGGGACACACGTCGTTGCCTTTTTGTCGTTTCTGCCTACGCTCCCACCGACTGCAGCTCGGATGAAGTGAAAGATGAATTTTACAGAAAGCTATCTGAACTTCTTCAGAAAGCTAAACGTTCAGACATATTACTCGTAGCAGGCGACTTTAATGCCCAGATAGATAGTTTAAACCAAACAGAAAGGCATTTAGGTGGGTGTTTTAGTATTCCGGCACAACGGACAGATAATGGTGATCGTCTGCTGCAACTATGCTCAGACAGTCGTTTATTTTTAGTAAACACAAAATTTAAGCATAAGGAGAGACATCGTCTAACATGGCGACCCCCTACACCAAACCAACGATGGACTCAAATAGACCATATTGCCATCAGTCATCGTTGTTGAGGGTCGGTACAAGATTGTCGCTCATTCTGGAGTACTTGCTTGGACTTCGACCACGCCCTGATACGGGCACGCATCTGCTTGCGCCTCACTGGATGCAAAAAAGCCACAGTAAAAAGACCCATTAGAACTGAGTTGAGTAGCGAAAAAACCAAAAGTAGGTTCCAGGAACAACTGAGGTCACACTTAGGTGGATGTGAAGACGAGGCTGACCCAGATGTTGCTTGGAAAGCTATACAAACAGCTGTGGAAACAGCAGTGACATCTATCAGTGACTTAAACCACAGATTGTAACCGCAAAGAACCAATGAATTTCCTCTAGGTCTATTGCACTGATGGATTCTCGTAAACTCATCCCATCAGGCTCTGAACACGATGAAGAGCGAATACAAATCAGATCTAGGTGGTGGGCAACGAAAGCAAAAGAGATGGAAAAGGCAGCGGCTATAGGGAACACAAGACAGCTCTACAGACTAATAAAATAAACTGGAATTAATAAGTCAAGTGTAAGTCGAACTATTTCGGAAAAAGACGACACTTTGATCTGCTCCCAGTCCAGACGTTTAGAACGATGGGCGGAACACTCCAGAGAACAGTTCAGCTGGCCTTCAGCTACTCTACAACTACCCTCCATTCCCAGACAGTGTGAATGGAACATTGAAGTAGGTCCCCCAACTCCTGCTGAAGTTCAAAAGGCTATAGTTAATCTGAAACGAGGAAGGGCAGATGGATTGGATCCAGAGGTCTTTAAGGATGGTGGTCCAATTTTAGCGATTAGGTTGACTGATATTTTAGCTAAGATCTGGGAGTTAGACGTTATTCCATCTGACTGGTCACAATCACTTATCGTCCCAATATATAAGAGAGGGTTAAAATCATCCTGTGACAACCATAGAGGGATTAGTTTAACTAATATAATATCTAAAATACTAGCCTCGATAATTATCGGACGCCTAACTAAGACTCGTGAACTGCAAACACGAGAGAATCAAGCTGGCTTCAGACCTGGTCGTGGCTGCATCGACCACATATTCACTATTCGTCAGGTTCTAGAAAATAGGCATACTTATCGGCGTCCGACAATGGTGGTCTTTTTTGACTTCAAAGCAGCATTTGACTCGGTAGACCGCGAGATTCTGTGGCAGTGTCTGTCATTGAAAGGCGTACCTCAGAAGTACATAAACCTTGTGAAGGCTCTTTACTCAAACACTACCAGTGGAATCAGAGCTTATGGCGAATTGTCATCTGTTTTTGCAACCTCAAGTGGTGTCCGTCAAGGCTGTCCACTTTCTCCATTTTTGTTTAACTTCATCATAGACCTACTGATGTAAATAACATTTTCGTCTACTGAATTCTCGGGTATTGATCTCCTACCAAGAGGTCCACTTATCAACTTAGAATACACAGATGACATAGTCCTGTTTGGTGAAGACGCTGATAAAATGCAGAGTCTTTTGGTAGCACTAAGCAACAATGCCAGAATGTTTGGAATGCGCTTCTCTCCCTCTAAATGCAAGTTGTTGCTTCAGGACTGGTGTGCGTCAACACATAAACTAAGGATAGGGAGTGAAGTAGTCGAACGCGTTGACAACTTCACTTATCTTGGAAGTCTGATCAGCCCTAATGGGTTGGTATCGGACGAAATCTCAGCACGGATTCAAAAAGCTCATTTGGCTTTTGCCAACTTACGTCACCTATGGCGAAGGCGAGATATCTATCTATCAATAAAAGGACGAGTACAGAGCGCGGCAGTTCGTTCTGTTTTAATTTACGGCTGCGAAACATGGCCACTAAGAGTAGAAGACACTCGTAAGCTATTAGTATTTGACCACAGATGTCTTAGAAATATTGCTGGCGTCTGTTGGGATCACCGGGTAAGTAATAGTGAGGTTAGACGCAGGGTATTAGGGAATGATGGTAAATCAGTTGATGAGGTTGTGAATCTTCATCGACTGAGATGGTTCGGCCACCTGTTACGTATGCCTGAACACCGACTACCACGACGTGCAATGCTAACCGGTGTTCGGGATGGTTGGAAGAAAGTTAGGGGCGGTCAAACCAAAACGTGACATCAGCGCTTGAAGTCACTAACTTGTAGTCTGAGCCATGTTGGTAGATGCAGACTACTTGGTTGGGGTCCGCTTGACTGTCGTAACCAATGGTTGGAGACTCTTGGTGACATGGCTCAGAATCGATCACAATGGCGTCGGTGTATACACTGTCTGTCTTCCCTTAAACTAAGAGATTAAAATCGCTTCATATCTTCCATTCTACGAACTAATTCTTTCTTCGTGTACTATTCCCTTATTGCAATCTTTCTTTTATATATTACCGTCACTGAATGAACTACTTTTATGAATCCGGTGTCCATCTTGTTGTGTTAATGAGGTATGGCAACTTGAACCGATGCATATATGTGCCTGGTCCTACGTTGTAGCTGACTGACTGATTCGTTTATTTTACCTTCATCTGTTCCTAAAACTGGTGTCAATGATCGATTTAAATATACTTATATAGGAGATAACAAGATATACAACGAATAACTAAGAGTATTGATATAGTCTACCATGGTAAAATAATGAGTTAGAGAACGCGATCGGAAAAGGAATGAAATCGGAAAACGACCTAATGATTTCATCTATCGATTTCGAAGGTGTTTAAAAAACTGTTTCAGTTTTGATAAACATGCCTATCTGAGAGCGTTACCTTAGGAGTAAAAGAGTACCTTCTTGTGTCTATTTAGATACCATCTGGATCAAAATTCCTCAGAGTTAATTTCGTTTATTTAACACCTAACGGGCGTTAGGCTGAGATTTGAGAAAAAAGGTTTGTCATTTGTACGGCCATATTTATGAACTTACATAAATCGGGTGGTTGGTAGTCATTATGGGTTTTGTATGTCATTGGACATTTAAATGAACCACAAAATTTTTTTCACGTTTAATCAAAGCAGTAACCATGAGCACTTTATGAAGTCTATTGTGTGCAACTGAGCTCGAATTATTTAAACGTGGGCTTTCGTATTTACAAACAACCTATATTTTCTTAATTTAGGAAGCCTTGAAACAATCCATATACCCGGTTCGTATCTATTGTACGCACATACTAAATGAGGTGGACTGCGATACTTATTTCCCAAAACTCGATTGGAGTAAACTGAAAAAAGTTGAGTAAGTATTTAAACTCTCCAATATTCCTTGTGAGGGTCTTTATTTTATGGATAATTATAAATAAATGGATGAAACTACTGATTTATTTGTAGTTCAGTATTTTGTGGTCATCGTATTTGAAGTCCATCAACAGATCCGCGAATTATTCAATCACAATTCTATTTCTATTTAAATCTCAACGAAACAAGTACAACATTTGAGTAGAATAATATGGTTCATCTATTTTGTGGATATCAGTTGTCTGAAAAGTGGATTTACACACTTTTGTTAGTTTTCCAAAAAGTATCGACTGAGATAGATAGCATGGAATGCGGGCTATTCCATGGCGACAGATGTGAAATCATTCTTAGCCGTCGTTCAAAATGTTAACTGTTTATAATTATAACCACTAAATTATCCAGCCCCTAAGGAGTTTTAGGGAATTAGTGAAATAAATGAGTTTATGTGGCTCTATTCAAATGTTGTTCTTTCTATATATTCGTCTTTACTAAATACATCAGTCAGCCAGCTAATATTGGAAAAATTTCTTATTCTATGATAGGCCTTAAAATTGTAAAATTGATGTCATCATCCTCCGAAATGGACACAAAGCCTCGAGAAAAGTAAATCATCTTTGATTGAACTTTATTCCTATATTTGGTAACTCCTACCTTCAGTCAGCTAGTAGGCATATTGGTGCCGAAAATAAACCGTCGTTAAGTTGTTATGGCCGCTCTAATTTCGACATTTGAATGTAGTTAAGAATATCAACCATCAAAATGGTAGAGGTTATTTCAGAAGTCAAAAACAGTAGTCTGCATGCCATATGTCTTTCCAAAATAGTCATATTAACCAGTTTAATTTCTTTTTGTTTAGTCTACCGGATATACCAGCGGGTACTTTCACAGAGAATGGATTTACATACAAATTCTGTGTTTACGACGTTCCATCCGAACAGTTTATATAATTTATAAATTCATTAGTAGATATCATTTAATCAAATATTTATTCGTAAAATTTTTAATTTTAAATACAAATCGTTTTATACGTCCCGTTTATTTTCATCATACTTCCTGTAAACCAAGACAATTCAAAGATTTTGTTATATTAATCGATTTATCATCACGGTTCTCTGTTAGTCAAACAAACATAGGAGGTCAAATAATATTAAACAAATATCATTAAACTCTTTAGATATGGATTTCTACAAAATATCTCTGAATAGAAGCCAGTATCCTCAGGTCTTGCTTGTTACAATTTATTTGTCGTCCATGATTCATGGCGATAGTTCAATTGATTCACAATAATTGAGCGATTTCGATTACTTCCGATAGCTGCTGATTATTATTGTTGCGATCCTCGAGTCTTCTTTATACGTTTCTTAGTGGATCACTAGATAAGATGCGGATTATAATCCCCTACACGGAGTATACTTTCCTCATTTGTAGACCAACTTAAGCTTCAGTTGTGGCCATAATAATCTCAACTCCTATTGGTGCAGAACGCACGCCTTCTTTTAACCCAATATTTAATCCTAAATAAGCGAACACAGAAAGCGGGTAAGTTATTTTTATTCACTTAGTCATTGCGCCTCGAACATTCATGAGTTTATGTACATAAATTTTCAAACCGCAAATGAGAAATCGTAGTTTATGCACAAACAAGCTCAGAGTGTTAAAGCAACGGGTCAAGTTGTAAATAATTAATTAACAGTAATGAAGAAATAGTAAAATGTTTAGCAATAATTATTGAGTCCAACAGAATCTTACAATATAGGGAATATAGAAACATACTCACCCAATTATTTGCTAATCACGAAATAATCTTAGCTAGAACCCCACTGAAAACCTTGAAGCATTGGAAGCCGTTTGATTATGAGACTCTTCTGCAGTGTGAACCCACACCCGAGAATCAGAGACGGGGCCTGTCTCACGCGCGAACGCTTAGCCTCTAGACCATGGAGCCCTCTCTTATTTACACTAAATTGTGCATTCAGTTATACCTACAAATTTAATTGAAGAGAACTTCTTATATATATTAACTTCCAAATGTATTCTATGAGATTGAGAGGACGAAAAGGGAACGTCCGGCGCTTTAACCGGGTTGGTGGATACTGAGAGTCCACCTAGGGCAGTTAGAAAACTCTGACTCCAAACAAATGGTACACATGGGCTCCAGTATCCTGAAGGAACCAATCGTTGGTCACCGGCTACCATGGGACTGCATCTCCTTACCTTACTCCACTGCTTTGTGGATCAGACCTTCAAGTCGAAGGCTCCGGGTGCGGCCCCCTAAGAAAACCACCTGCTTCGATTTGGGCACCCGGGTAGTATCACAGCCCCCACACAAATCAAATGAGATCTGTGTGGCGCATTTGTATTTGGTGCCTCCTTGTACCATATCTGTTAACATAAACAAAATAAAATGAATATTCTTAGTACTAAGAATATTCAAGCAACCTCAAGTCTTTCGTAACCATAAGTGGCCTGTAAGGGACTTTACATAGTATTGAATACTACTATGTCCAATAAGACGAAGTCATCATATAATCCGATCAAAACACTACTATTAACACGACCTAAATCTCTTATTTACACTAAATTGTACATTCAGTTATACCTACAAATTTAAGTGAAGAGTACTTCTTATATATATTAACTTCCAAATGTATTCCATGAGATATCAAAATATTAAGGATCCACTTCTCTGAGTATTGGTTTTAAAAATTTTCCACTTAGCGACATTGATAAACTGATTGGAACCTAAATGGTCGCTTTAGAGGCAGTAGAGATTATAATTTTGGTTCATCTTCCTACTGATTCAGTGAGCTTACTTACGCCTATTACTCCTAATGGAGCCTAGGCCGCCGACTAGTATTCTCCAACCCACTCTGTCCTGTGCCTTCTTTTCTAATTCCATCCAATTCTTGTTCATTTTTTTCATGTCTATTTCTATTTATCGGCGTAATGTGTTCTTTGGTCTTCCTCTTTTCCTTTAGCCTTGAGGATTCCATGTGAGGGCTTGTCTTGTGACGCAGTTAGGTGCTTTCCTCAATGTGTGTCCTATCCACTTCCAGCGCTTCTTCCTCCGCTGGGATCTGGTTTGTTCTCTCCCACAGTACGTTGTTGCTAATAGTGTCCGGCCAACGGATCTGAAGTATTTTGCGTAGACAACTGTTAATAAACACCTGTATTTTCTGGATGATGGCTTTCGTAGTTCTCCAGGTTTCTGCCCCATATAGTAGAACTGTCTTGAAAATCCTGACCTTGGTGTTGGTTGACAGGTGTCTTGAGTTCCAGATGTTCTTCAGTTGTAAATATGCTGCTCTTGCCTTACCATCCGCATCAGATCCACCATGTTCATCAATGATACTGCCCAAATATGTAGTGGTTTTTACATCTTCCAAATCTTCTCCGTCAAGTGTGATTGGATTGGTGCATTCTGTGTTGTATCGGAGAATCTTGCTTTTCCCTTTGTGTATATTGAGACTTACTGCTGCTGAGGCTGCTGCCACACTGTTCGTCTTCTCCTGCATTTGTTGTTGCGTTTGGGATAGAAGGGCCAGATCATCTGCCAAGTCCAGATCGTCCAACTGCATCCATGGTATCCCGTGTTTCCCTTCAGATGTTGACGTCTTCATGATCCAGTCGATCACCAGGAGAAGGAGAAAGGGTGAGAGTAAGCCACCTTGCCTGACACCGGTCTCTATTTCGAACGACTTTGTCAACTGTCCTCCATGCACGATTTTGCAGTGTAATCCATCATATGAACTCTGTATGATATTGACTATCTTCTGAGGCACGCCGTAGTATCGGAGAAGCTTCCATAGTGTTGTTCTGTCCACGCTATCAAATGAAGTGAGCAGGTAATGAAAATGGCGAAGTTAACATAAGACGACGTTGTTCGCCATGTTTTATGAGTTAACTTAGTTGATTTGGCAGGACCTCATTTGCACAAAGCAGGTATATTTGCAAAAAAATTCAGTTAACTACTCGGTCAACTTATTCCATAGTATCTGGGAGTGGCGATATTTAGGATTGGTAATTGAAATCATGTATTTATTTATTCACCAATGACCGGAAAAGCTCTTATTTTGCAGTAGCATATGCGTTGGGTGATATATAATCAATATTTATGTATATTATTGAGAATAAAATGAATTCTGCTAACAGCTGTTATTACTTGTGTTGACATTTTTAGTTCAGTGAGTAACTAACAGTGGATAATATTTTTCACTTGAAGATCGTCTATGAAGTAGCTATTGTTTAAACAATCAGTGTACACGTTACAGATCTGAAAACTCCGCATCTGACAATTTTTAGAGACAAACCGTTAAAATAAGAGCACTACGAGAGGTTAATAAACATTAGTATTATTTGGAGCAAGACAATATCACTCAATAGTCATGTGAAGTAATTTTTAGATAGTCTTTACTAAACTACTAAGTCACAACGAGCAATGAGTTGTTATCGGAAATGGAATAATAATTATTATAATCACAAGAACACCAGTTTAAACGTTTGATTATCAGTTATTTCACTCGTGGCACAATAATGGAAATAAAAACATTATGAATCATAAAATACGTCAGACAGAATAACAATATTGTTGAGAAATTCAGGTTTGATAATCGTGTAAGTTACAACCATACTAAGTTTAAGAGCAGTTCGAACTACTGGGATCAGATTCATTTTTCTCGTAAGTTGGTCTTATTGGTGATAAAAAACATAAATAGAAAACCAAATTCAGATTAACACAAGCTTTTACTGTGCTTCAAGTGACCGAGTAATACGATTTTTGCAAATGAGACGTAATGCATGAATTAGAAAATAGGTCGACATTGATTTTGTTTCATGCATTTAGTTCCCCTCATTATCTTGAAGAGAGTAAGAAGAAAGAGTTGAGCAGAATATGAATTCACTTCATTTAGTAAGATTCTCACCAGCTGCTTGCGACCTATATTTTAAGAAATCAAAATAATTGTGAAGTTTACATTCTTATAAGTTGTGGAGCGATGAGTTTGAAGACATATTGTTGCGAATACTTTGGAGGCGATGCATTTAAAACAAGGAAAAAAAACTGCAGGAATGATGTAGTAAACTGGCGATAAAATAGCTATGGTGAGGAAACATTTCTTTTGGAAATGTAAGTCGACTATGGCTTTGGTGAGTCTGAGTATCGACTGATGATGCTGAAAGACTTCAGTCCATCAACTTGATGTCTTGCAATACCACTGCTAGAAGCCATTGCTCTCATTGACCTGAGATTTATGGGATATCTTCTTGAAATCGAACACAGGCCCTTTTCCGTTCAACCAATGTAACTGCTTGGTCGGTAAATGTAAATTTGTATGGGCAGTTGGTTGTAACACAGAAGGGGTACCTATCGAACTTTGACAGGAGTAAGGAACATATTGTTTTGTGCAGAATAATCCGCTTGTAGGATAAGTCCTATTAAGTGTGGTCTTAATATTCTCTATATAATTATTTCAAAATCGTCACCGAATTCAAGTTGAATGAAAATCGGTTTCTTTTCTGCTGTAGTTTCTTGGGCATTTTGTCTCTATATATCCCATATTTCACAATAAATTTCCTTGGATACCCACTGTTCTTTAAGCCTTCTTTAACTTTCATTAATTTTACTCGTGTATCGATACAGCATATCTGCTCCATTCTGTTTTGTAACTAATCAGACAAAAGCTGTTAAGATTTAGATAAACACCATCCCATGTATCTTTTCAAAAAACTGAATGTTGAACTGTACCATCCTCCCTTTGTTGTATGGTAATGTTAAGAAAGTGGAATTTATCGCCCTTTTCCGGTCCCATGGTAAACTGTCTATTTTAATAAGCGTCGTTGAGAAGTTTTAGTTGTCGTTGAACATTACATATAATAAAAGTGTCATCAACATAATTTGCATAATACATCATTCTATCAACTACTCCTTTAAGCTTGGCCTTTTCAAGGTTAGCCATGAATGTATATGCAAGGACAGGATCAAGTGAACTTTCTTTTACTACACCATAAGGTTAACGTGGTATAATGTTA